GACCAAGGAAAATGATGAGCTTCGCGCAAAACTGCTTGAAAAGCAGCTGTCTGCAAATGCCCGTATGGACCTGGTTCTCAAAACCCTTGCTGCCTCCTTCTCCAAGTCTTCCTCTTCTAGTGCCCCTTAGAAACCTCTCAGTGACCAGTTGTCTTCTGTTATATTGTTTTGTGGCTATTGTTTTCTTTTTGTTTGCTTTTGTTGTGATGGCATGTTGGATTTCACCGTTACTGCTCCTTTTAATCAGTCCATATTCATATCAATGAATCAACTCTTCTTTTTGCTTGTACAATGCTGTTTTCCTTTTGCTTCTCTTTTTTGTCATGTTGTGTGCACATATGTGGCATGAGTTGGCTATGTTAGACTTCTTTATGTTGTTTGCCTGCTTGTGTATTTTTAATGATGCCAAAAGGGGGAAGTACGTATAATGGAAAATTGAAACAGGGGATTTGATTAAGGGGAAAGCAAAAAGTCAGGGGGGACTTGTGAAGTTCCTGTTACCTCATCTGGTTATTTCTGCTCTAAATAAATGTTATCAATGTCTAAGTTTGTCATCATCAAAAAGGGGAAAATTGATGGGTTTTCAATGTTTTTGCCTTATGTTTTGATGATCTAACAAACTTACTGTCAAGAACCAGATAGGGAACCTGACACACTTGGTACACTTTACAAATGAACGAAGTCCAGCCTGAACTCCAGCCAATGTGAACTGCTGCAAATAAAGAGAAAAGAGGAACAAGACAGGGACCTGATCCCTGGGTGTTCTCTGACAGAAGTACAAGTTAACTATACAGCTGGAAAGCAACTGCAAAAAGCAACTGCCTGCAACTGTACACGCGACAATGCAGCAGACAGTACAGCAGTCATTTCCCATTGGGAAGAGGCGTATACCTACCAAGACTTGACATCATCCTTGGGATGTCTTTGGTAGTATAACAACATGGTGAAAGGCACAAGATACTCACTTGAGCATTTAGTGATATTCTCTCAAGCATTAAAGATCTGATCCAGCATTGAAGTCACAAGTGTGTCAAGAACAAGAAGACAACTTCACTAAGGACCAGTTCCACAATGAGTCTATGTGTATCCGTAGTTGAGTTGTAATCTTGTTGTTTGTTCTTCATTGTAACTCCTATCTTGCTTTCTTAGAAGCTTTGTTTTAGGAAACTCAAAATCATAAAACTTCTGAGTTTGTGTTGTGACTAGAGTTACTCATAAGTTAAAGTCTTTGTAACTAGTGAGTGACAAAGTGGCTTGTGATAAGTGTATCACAAGTTAGTTGAGTTGAAGTCTTTGTAATAGAGTAATTACAAAGTGGCTTGTAATAGTGTGTTTACAAGTTAGTGAAGTTGAAAGCCTACAAGTGTAGGTCGTGGTTTTTGTCCCCTTGAGTTGGGATTTTTCCACGTAAAAATCGTGTGTCTCATTTACTTACTGTTTTAATTAGTATTCTCAGGGAAAACTCATAGAGGACCAGGTACTCTATAGTTTGGTGGATTCATATAAACTAACATCATGTAAAAAGGAGCAGTAACAACAACATGATAATAAGACAATCGAAGCAAACTTATATAAAATAAAAATAAAAAAACTCCAAAATTGCCTTTGTAGTTTCCAAAATGGCCTATTTTTGTCCTCCATTTAAAATTGGGTTCAACCATACCCTCACAATTACAAAACTAACACACATTTACCCTTGTGGTTTGCAAAATGGTATACTTTAAAAATAAAAAAAGGAGAGCACATTGAATTTAATTTTATGTTTTTTGGTTTTTCACTCGCTTTAGAGTATGATTAATCCGTATTTGCATGGAAATATTTTACTTTGGGAGTTGAAGTCTTCCTATCAAAAGCGACTCCATTTCCAGGACTCGAAACCAAAAATTTTGATTAAAAGTGAAAGGTCGCGTACCACCCCAACCACAATCTTTGATGTGTAAATCTATTAACCTTTGAATTCTACATTCTCCTAGTGGTTATGACATTTTTCATCTTAAGATGTCCAAAAATATTTGAATTTCACAAATTCTTATAATTCAAATTGATTTAACTACCCGTTTTATAGAGTTTGCTTGCATTACAATTTACATAATATACTAATTAACCAAATATTCACCACATGATGGGACATAAAATAGGATTGTGAGTGTACCTTTTTACATCAATTGTTTGACAATACTCCATTTCATGCTATGCAAAACCACCTTGTCCTTTTCCTTTGACATTATTGGCTAAAAGTGGAAATACATTATATGCATATCTAATTACTACATTTTAGTCACAGAAGTAGGCCCTAAAGTAAAAGTAATTTCTGAAAAAACTATGAAATGATTTCAAAATAGACTATAAATGTAAAATGCGAGACCCACATTTTAATTGATAACGGTAAAAATTTATCCATACTCGATATTTTTTCTTTTATAAATAATACCATTAGTTATGTAAATTGAGAAGACAGTGATAAAAACTTAGCCACGGATATTTACATTAAAGTGCATGCGTATTCCCTCAATATTTCCATCCAATCAAATATTAAAGTAAAAGTACATATGTCTAGTGGTATATGCATTCTTAACGTAATTATCTTCGATGTATTATCATAAATCTACTTGTAGGTATGTATGCAGTGGCGGAGGCAGGATCTCCTTTAAGAGGGTTCAAAAAGAAAAAAGTTAAAAAAGATTGTAACTAGTGGGAATTGACCCTATGACTTTATAAAGATTTTGAATCCCCTTGACCACTAAGCTACACTTTTGGGTTGTGTCATAGGGATTCAAAACTTAATATATAGAGGTAAAAAACAGATTTTGCCTTATATATGCAGTGTAGTTTTTCGTCGAAGGGAGTTCGGGTGAACCCCCTTCTGCCCCCCTAAATTCGCCCATGTATATATGTGTGTATATATATGTATACACACATATATACGTACATACATACATACATAATGACTGATTTCGAATTAGACGGATAACTTCAAAAATGGTCTCAATGTTAGAATCTGAAGAACAATAGTTCTATTGGTGATCCATTCAAAAGAAACTGGCCGCTTTGGTTTTGATTTGTCGATCGAGTGCGGAGGGTGCTACGCTCCTTTTCCTTTGTTCTTGTTAATGACCGCAGGGGTGAAGTGACATGTTTTAGTTGATCACCCTTCGTCTAAAAATTATACTGCGTATATAAGTAAAATATTAAATTTTAGAAGTATATAACATATTATGAACATTCTTTGTCGGAATTTTTTTTTTACTTTTTTTAAGTTTGAACACTCTTGAGGAAATTTCTAGCTTCGTCACTAAATGACCAGAAACCTCAACAAATGCTCCTGAGGCCATATTATAGATGCTCTGGATACAACCAACTAGGTGCATTGCATATTCCAACCTTAGTTTTATTTTTTAATTATCACTGGCCATTTCCGCTGGTTTTGATGGAAACTTTAGTTGTCTCCTGAGTTTGGATAAGGATATAAAGAAATCAGTGAAAGTTGCCTAAACCAATTGTTTCTCTCCATTTTTCCCAATCATAAAATATCAGTTTTTCAAGAATTCAATTTGGAATATTAATTTATGTATCTGCAACCATTTGTCCACCACATACATCCACACGTTCGATAACAATTATGTCTCGATCCCAAGCAAAATTAAAATTAGCTATGAATTTTTACTTTCAATGTCAATTGATTTTATCTCAACCGTCTAATAATGTACTACATTAGGAAAATTTCCCATAAACGTTGGTCCTACATTGAACATACTACCATGACTAAATTTTAATCTCAACTAATTGATACTAACCATATTTTTTTTTTTCGAGCCGTGGAAGCAGTCACTATCGCTTATTAGGGTTTGCTGTCTATATCACATTTTTTGAGATACGACCTTTCCCCTGTGCCTACGTGAACGCGCGATACCATATGCACTGAGCTGCCTTATGTACTGTATATCATGAAAAGTTTGTCACTGATGTAGTCAGGGGCGGAGCTAGAGTGCGCAGAGCGGGTTCGGTCGAACCCTGCATTTGTCTTAAATTTTTTACTGAATATATATAAAATATTAATTTAGAACCCGGTAACTTAAGACAATTAAAATATTGAAGTAGGGGTGTGCGTTCGATTTATCGATTCGATTTTGACCCTTATTGATAATTACTTATCGATTATCGATTTGTACATATCTTATCGTTATCGTTTCAATAAGGTTTCGATTTTTTCGATTTCGATTTATCGATTTTTGGGGCTTATCGATTCGGTTATCGATTACACCAATAAGAAAATTTGCGGGATTCCACGGAAAGTACATCGCTATAAACGCGCCTAACTAATATAGACCAAAAGAAGCTAAAATAAGACGAACACCGTTTATCACATAAAAATTGTGTCAACAAGCACATGCAACGAAACTAAAGTAAGGGATCAAATGTATGCCACCAACACTCCAACGGTATAAAAAAAAAACATCATCACGGCTAATTCTATTTTCCATTAATTTGAACTTCATTCCCTTGAGCTTTAAATATGATCATTCCTTAAATGTGGTAAATGAAATAATAGGGTTAGGGACTTAGGGTAAAGGAAAGGGTATTATAGAATAAGGGTAAAAAAAAATTAAAAAAAAATTAGTATTTCTTATTGGTTTATCGATAAACCGATAACCGAAGAGGACAAAATCGAAATCGAAATCGATAACTCGATAAGAAAAATTTCGAAATCGATAAATCGATAAACCGATAACAAATAATCGATTCGATTTATCGATAAACCGATTCGAATGCACACCCATATATTGAACCCATAAGCTTGAAATTCTGGCTCCACTTTTGGTTGCAGTGGAGCAAAATTATCTGTCTTGTGACAATTTGGCTTGTGTGGGCTTTCCCATGGACCCTTAATTTTCACTCTTTTTACTACTTTTTTATCTGTGGGCACTTATGGACTTTTATGTACCCAAATATTCCCCATGTTCCTTTTCAGTTATAAACCATTTTATAGTGAAATGGAGTTGAGGACACATAGTGGGAACTGAAATTTCATAAAAAACATAATTTTCTTTTAGCCTTTTTCTGCTTCAGTTTCCAGTTTTAATGCTATTTATTCATCTCTATATTTCCCTTTCTCCTTCTGATACTACAGTCTGTTTGTAGTATAAAGCACTTGGAAATCTGTGATCTTTCTTTGGATTTTTGCAAAAACCACAATAAAATAATTTCTGGGATTTCACACATTTCTTTCTGCCATCTTTTGAGAAAACTCAGAAAAAAAATTTCCCTTTTCTTTTTTTCTTTGGCCAAAAGTAAGGAAGGTTCTTGATACCAGAAAACCAGCTTTTCATCAGGAAAAGAAATAGGATTTTATCTATAAATATTTGGAAGGCTTGTTAGCTGCTTCTTGGTATTACAAAAGGATCAAAGCTATATACCTGACTGGATAAAGATTTTTTATAGTATCAGTATAATTCAGCATATTATAGTAGGTTAGTTATCTTTTTATCAGATTATCAATGTGTATTATTCTTCCGTCTATTTTTCTGGCTTTGAGATTGTTGTTACGATCTTTTTGGACCTATATGTTGATATTATTTGTTTCTACGGCTTCTTTTCATCTTTATTGAGTCGAGTGTCTATCGGAAAACTCTTTACCTTCTCAATGTAGGGGGTAAGGTCTCATATACGCTATCCTCGCCAAATTCCACTTATGAGATTCCACTAAATTGTTGTTGTTGTATCAATGCGTATTATAGCAATTTATCAATAATTATCTTACAAATGACTTGATTGTATAGATATTTTTATGTCAATGCATAAAACTTAAACTCATTTATTTTTAATTAGATTATCATTTAATGCATATTATAGTGAATTGTCATTATTAGCTTATGAATGATCTGATTGTATAGATATCTTTATATCAATGCTAATAGATTTTAAAGTCATTAAACAAAATCTAACCTTTTTCATATATTCTGACTACCTTACAACAACAACAACAATAATCCAGTAATAATCCCACTAGTGGGGTCTGGAGAGGGTAGAGTGTACGCAGATCTTACCCCTACCCATGAGGGTAGAGAGGCTGTTTCCGGGAGACCCTCGGCATATTCTGACTACCTTGTTGTCGCTATTGTTTGTTGCTTCTTTTTACTGTTTCTTGAGCCGATGGTCTATCAGAAACAATCTCTCTATCTTCACAAGATAGGGGTAAAGTCTGCGTGCACATTCCCTCCCTAAGCTCTTCTTATATGATTATACTGTCTTGGTTGTTGTTATGACCTTTTTCATATACATTCTTGAAATTTGGGAAATTTAACTCATGACAGAGTTTTATGTGGCTACAGGGCAATACAAAACAAAGGAAAAAACAATGGAAGATTTTCAAGAAGAAGATATATGGGCTATTAGTATGAAGGAAAGAAAAGGTTTTTCAGGTTCAGTGGTGAAGAGGAAATTAGCCACTGCTCCAAAAGTGATTCCAAGAGCTAAAACTACTGCTATTAACAGCCATGAATCTACAGTGCCACAGCAATCATCAGCTCCTGTTAATATTCCTGATTGGTCAAAAATTTATAACAAGAAAAAATCAAGTAGATTTTTGAAAAATGGTTCATGGGATAGTGATGAAAATTTTGTTCAAAATATTGTTGTAGAAGATGAAGATTGTGATGATTTTAGTGATGGAATGGTACCACCACATGAATATATAGCTAGAAGAGTTGCAAGAAGTCAAATTGCTCCTTTTTCTATGTGTGAAGGTATTGGGAGGACACTTAAGGGAAGAGATCTTAGCAAATTGAGGAATGCCATCTTAACCAAAACTGGTTTCTTGGAATAACATCATCATTTACAATTGTATGATTTTTTTTTTTTTTTTGTTTTTAAGAAAGTGATGTTTGGATCAATTTATAGGTATCTCGACTATTTTATCGTGTATCTGCTCAGAGTCGGATTCGGAATTGAAACTTAATGGGTTCGAACTTGCATTGAATTTATTATATTATTAAAATTATGAGTTCAGATCTAACATTTATTGAAATTTTAGTAGGTTTTTACATATATATTATGAGTTCAGATCTAACCTTTTGTTATATCTTGGGTTCATTTGTTGTTTAAAAATTAGTGGTATTTCGACAAAAACAAAAATATTCATCATTGGTTTGGAAAAACTTTCTTTCTTGAATTGTTATTTTACATCTACTTATTATATAGTAAATTATTTTATTTTATATTTAATGGAATCAAACTAATAGTTAACTAGCCATTAGACCTATATATAGAAGGTATTTTGCAATTGTACAAAGAATTCTTCTAAGTTATTCTTCTTTCTTCTAATCTTATCTTATATGCTAGGTATTCTTTCTTGAGTTTCTGTTAGTCCCGATTTCAGTTTATAACGGAAAGAGCTCGTTGAATTTTGGGGATACGCTTAATAATATTATTTATTGTGAAAGCAAAATATACTTAAGGATAGTATCCTTTACACACCTCAAGTTAAATCATATTCTCTATAAAAAATTCTAACGTTCACACCCATGCCCTTTAATAATCCACCTCGTATTTTTCCTTACCATTAACATGGGTCCACCATGATATTGACGGACTCCATATTTAAAATATCTCGAGAAAGAATGTCTAAATTCACCCATCTATTTTTGTTATAGTTAGCTAGTATTAGTACTCGCGCGATGCGCGGACACAAATCATGTCGGATTGTGATTTGGTGTCACGACCCAAATCCATCACGGGTCGTGATGGCGCCGGACACCGTTGTCAGGCAAGCCAACTAAATCACCAATTCAATTCTCTTTTAATAACTTTGAAAATCTAAGAGTTTTACTTCCATTTTTTTTTCATGTATAAATAGACCATCTCTGTTTCAATTCAAATTAAGAAATACTATTAATACACATCTTTCGAAAATCCATCCCAGAACCCGGTGTCATAAGTGCATGAGCAACTACCGATAAGAAAAATAAAATACAATATCTGTCACAAATATAGTGGACAAGGAATGAATAAATAAAGAACTAGAAGGGAACTACACTAGCTGCGGGTCGCCTCGAACAGTACAGCTCACCTAGTCCCCGGATCATCCGTGCTGCTATGCCCAGTAGGCCGCTAAAGTAACATATACCTGTGCAAGAAAAATGCACAGAAGTGTAGTATGAGTACGAAATCAACGTGTACTCAGTGAGTATCCCGCCTAATCCCGAAGGGGTAGAGACGAGATGGTCAACCTGGACACTCACTAGCGGTCCAATAATAATATACTAAATATATGAGGGAATCATGGATTATATATATACAGTTTTAACTCACAAAGATGTAAAATAGGCAATACACCTTCAACAAGTAATAAGGGATTTTCAAGTTTTACTCTTCTTTATTTTATCCATTTACATCAAGCCATGAAAGGCAATATCTTCATCTAAAATTTCTCATGCATCAATATACACAAATACCATGCGCAAATCATGCCGAGGCGGCGACCCGCTCCAACAGAAAAGAAATGTGCACTTGCCGAGGGTCGACGGCGCGCCTATAGATGCATCTATTTAATCTGTTGAGGCGTTCGGCCCGTTCCAAAATAAACACACCCAGATAGACAGTCAGTCAATAAGTCAACATGGAGCAATTATCCAAGAAAAGCCAACTCTCTTTAAATAATCTGAGGAAGCGAAGCTTAAGTCTTTTTAGAAATCCTTATATAAATTTAATGTGATTTAAACAATTCAAACCCTCAAAGGGTTCACAATTAATCCAAGTATAACATGCTCAATCAATCAAGTAAGAACTTATCAGGGAGTGTTTATCGATATATATATATATATATAAATTCTTCTTTTAACAAAATTTTTCAAGTAAGGTTAAATCTCTTTGGAAATTCATTTACAAATTCCATGTGACACAAGCAATTTGAGCTATCCAAGAATTTACAATTAATTCAAGTATTCATGCCTTTGGGTCCTAGCTACTCGGACAATAGCAAATAGTAGCTACGCACGGACTCTCGTCACCTCGTGCGTACCTAGCCCGTAAAAATAGGAGCAAATAACAAATTTAACTCACCTATGGGGTAAATTCCCCTCACAAGATTAGAAAGGAGACTCACCTCGCTCCAAAGACCCATAACCGGCATTCTACATTCTTCCGAAGGCTTGAACCGACGCACAATGCCCCAAAACTAACCATTTAAAGACAAACTAATGAGAACATGCTCAAATACTCGTTAACAATTCAAATTATACAAATTCCCAACTCCGCTTAGAGAAATGACCAAAATGCCCTCGGGCCCACATCCCGGAATTCGAAATTTTTTCGAAGATAAGGATTACCCATGACCTTAGGAACTCAAATATAAAATGTTGTCTTAATTCCATACTCAAAATCGTGGCTAAAATCCAAGATTATAATTTTCTAGGTTTTCAAGCAAAACCTCAATGTTTACTCTAATTTCCATGCATAAACCCATATATAATTGATATATTCAACTCAAAAGTGGTGGGGATAACATACCTCATCATTGACGACAAAATCCTCTCTTGAAGCTCCCCAAAAATCGCCCAAGCCATGAAGAAATGGGAGAAATGAACTAAATCCCACGATTTAAAACAAGGTTCTGCTTCCAGTCATTTCCGTTTCTGCGGAAGTCATGCCGCATCAGCGGTTCCGCTTATGCGGTCCAAAGGCCGCTTCTGCGGCTCCTTTCCATGCCGCCCTTTCTCGCTTCTGCGATGCCCCTTCGGCAGATGCGGTTCCGCTTCTGCGGAATTTCGACCGTATCTGCGGTCCTCAAGCTTTGGACCCAAAAAAAACCGCATCTGCGGCTTCCCGTTCGCTTCTGCGGTGCCGCTTCTGCGGTCAACCAACCGCAGAAGCGAAAACACCAGCAACCAGATGCCTTCAGCTCTCTTCCAAATTCCAATTTCGATCTGTTAACCACCCGAAATCCACCCGAGGCCCCCGGGACCCCGACCAATCACACCAACCAATCCCAAAACACATTAGGGTCTTGCTCGAGGCCTCAAATTACATCAAACAACGCTAAAATCATGAATCAACCCCCAATCCAAGCTTTATGAACGTTAGAACTTCCAACTTCTACTTTCGATGCTTAAACCTGTCAAATCACGTCCGATTGACCTCAAATTTTGCACGCAAGTCATATTTGACATTACGGACCTACTTCAACTTCCGGAATTGGATTCCGGCCCCGATATCAAAAAGTCAACCTCCGGTCAAACTTCTCTAAAGCCTTCAAATTTCTATCTTTAGCCAAATGGCTCCAAAATGACCTACGGACCTCCAAATTCACTTTTGATCGCGCTCCCAACTCCAGAATCACCATACAGAGCTATTCACAGTCTCGGAATCCCAAACGGACATCGATAACACTGAAACGCGCTTCAAGCCAAACTTATGAAATTTCTTCTAAAATACTAACTTCCACAACAGGCGCCAAAACACTCCCGGGTTATCAAAAACCCGAACCGGGCATACGCCCAAGTCTGAAATCATCATACGAACCTGCTGGAACCTTCGGATCCTGATTCCGAGGTCGTTTACTCAAAATTTCAATCCTAGTTCATTCTTTCAACTTTAAGCTTCTGAAATGAGAATTCTCTTTCTAAATTAACTTTGAACTTCCTAATACTTAATTCCGACCACACGTACAAGTCGAAATACTTGAAATGAAGCTGTTCATGGCCTCCGACTGCTGGACGGAGCGCTAGGACTCAAAACGACCGGTCGGGTCGTTACACAAACACTTTATACCCTTTTGAGTCTGTGCTGATTTCTTTGACATCCCCTCTTTTGGAATCGAGTTAGAGTCATCACATAAAAAAAAGAAAAAAATTCATGCCCTATAAGGTTTGTTTTAGAAACTTCATTCAAAAAAAATTCAAAAAGAAAAAAAAACAAAAAAAAACAAGGAAAGGAAAATAGCAGCAACAAAGAGTAGTCTTGTGAACTACGTTCGACCTGATTCTTGTCACCACAAGATACGTAGGCAGCCTTACGATTTGGTCCCACCAAATAAAATATTTCATAATTCCACGAAGTCGAGAATGAGACAGTGTTTCCTAGAAATTCCATCTCAAGAAAATAAACGGAAAAATAGATTCAAATTCCCTTGTTTTAGAAATTGGGGCAAAGTTTTTAGAATGGATTCCAAAAATTGTAAATAAATTAACCCCGTTGTCTTAGTTATTTTGAGCTTTTTGATATCCTTTCTTTCTAATCCTGTCCAAAAGCCACATTACAATCCAAAAAAGACCTCACAGATAATCTTTGAGAGTGCCGAGCTAGGCATGCCAGGAGCAAATGATGTTTTTAGTATGATCAATTCCTTGTCATCTGTAGAATCAGAGGAAATAGAAAGAAAAAGAACAAAATGAGAGAGCCCTATCGGTGAAAACCTTCGCAGGTACCATAAGGCGATGGTAAGTTGAGAGAAAGAATAAAATGAGAGATGCTTGATAGTGAAAACCCTTCGGGCACTACAAGTCGAATAAGGACCGTGAATCAGATAGGATAATCGGAGCATTGAAGCCCAGTTTCACGACTCAGAGGTACAACACGAGTTGAACATTAGACTTGCTTGACAAATTAGGCCACTTAATCCAAAGGTGCATGTCATGGTCATTAGAGTTGGTATCGACATCTGATAAGTTTCTACTTTGTAATTTTCTTGTTAGATATCATCTCTTTCCATTGTCCCTTACTCTGTTCCTTTTGTTTTGTTTACTTCCTCTTCTTGAGTCTCTTTGGTAAGAACAAGTGAGAAATGACTTCAAAATTTGCTACCAGCTTTCCAATTGCACAAAACGGAATCTGGCTAGCACATCAAAGTGGCATGAGTGAGGAAAGAACAGTATGTGCGCTGAGTTAGTAACAATCAACGTACTTTGGGATTCATATGAAATACAAAGGTTCGGTAAATGTCAATCCATGAGCACAATGCAACAGCTAGAGGGTATTGGGTTT